GCTTGATTGAGTAATTGAGCTAATTTCTCGTTTCAATTGATAGAGTAGAGGACCATTGCTTTCTCCGTATCTTTCCTTGATTTCATCGCACAAATTTTTTGCAGATGTGGTTGTACAGGAAGGCACTGGCTAGCTCTTTGGTCATTGAGTTGAGGATCCAGGACACCACCATGCTGTCGGCCTTTTGCCACCTTTCATACTCCGCTGTGTTGGGAACTAGTTTTTCGAATCTGCCATCAACAAGAGCTAACTTATCTTTAGCTCTTAGAGCAATCATCATGGCTCGACTCCAAAAGAGATAATTGGAGCCATCAAGGGGTGTAGAGACCAGTTGCATTCCAGGCTTGTCTGAGCCTTGGAGAGTCAGTATATCATTAGCAATATTTGGGGTAGCCATTGTAAGGATAGGTTAGTAAAAAATTTAAAAGGGACAGTGCTTAGTACAGACACTACTCTGATACCATGTAAAAAAATAAGAAAGGTAATAAAGGAGTTTTTAAATATTTCCTCTGTCACTTCATTTATGGTGCACAAACATGCATTTATATACACAGAAAGAGAGGGAGAGACTATACTGATCGAGAGAGAAGAAAAACCCTAACATATACAACAACCTAATATTCCAGAACCTGCCTTTTTATAGCTGTTCACAATCAAAAAGCATCTTTTAATTTCCACCGTCCATCTGTCTTTCATCCCAGCGTGCTTTACATATGATCTTTTATTTTCTGCTTTGATCTTGACCATCATTTACTTCAAAAACCCTAACAGGAATATTTTTCAATCTTTTACACATCTGGATGTTGGAATCCACAACCATCCTTCCATTAAAAATTGATTTTATGTGCTAAATGATTACTCTAGTAAAACCGCCAATGCATGATGAGAAAATAGTTCATCCTTACAAAAAAATTTATCCAAGGTAATGGGAAGAAGGACACGGGAGGAATCAAAGGGAAAAAAATAATTCTGTTGAGATGACTTGACTAAGAGAACTGAGAGGATGATCAGACAGAGCTAATACAAAGATTAACACCATCATTCTGGCAATCAAACCAATAGGGAAACATATCTCCATCATCATATCATTCTCAAAAAAACGAGTGTATGTTTTTTGTGTAAGATGCTCGGTAAGTTAGCTTCTCGATCCATTCATTTGGCTATACCCCTCTGGACATTTCAAGTTAAAGAGCACTAATTCTCAATCACTTCACTTGTCACATGTAGCCACCTTTCTATTCAATCAACAAAATCTAGCTATTCAAGATAATTCCTAATCAACAAAAAACAGAAACTACTACTACTTTTAGAATTAAAATTTTGGGGGCATCTGAATGCAGATTGATTAACAAACCAGACGCAAAATGCCAGAATCTCAGCCGCCTTCATTATTGGCAACGTATAGCACTGAAAACACTATCGAACAAAGTGTATCAGAGACTCTAATTTATTGCCATTTTCTTTTATTTTCCAACAATTCAAAAATTTTAAAAAAACAAAAATAAAAAGGCTCAAAGAATAATGATTTTCTTGTAACATCATCGAGCTTAACAGCCCTCATAGCTTGATGGTATACAGCTTCTATCATTACTACCCTTAAACATTATAAGAAATAATAAAATTTAAGAACAAACTAATGCTAATTGAGAAATAAGAGAGGCCTAGACAACATATATGTTTCAACTGCTTCAGAGAATCGATCTCCGATGGTACAGACAATGTATCATGCATCACCAACCAACAACTATAACTAACTATAAATAAAACACACATCAATAGCCTTATCAGATCAATAGCCTTATTCAGTCAATATCCTGTAAGATACATACACAAGCCTAGAAAATGCAAAATCCACTGGTTAACGCACATAAAAAGTAGAAGAAAGATTTTTACTTCTGAAAAAAAGATTTTTACTTTTGAAAAACTTGCACAGAAAAGTTGCATAAAATTGAGTTCAACATTTTAGTTTCAAAATATGCAATTTTGGAACATTGTAACCTTCTTTCTAGTAGATTGTTGAAGTACATAATATGTGTGAATAAAAAAGGTGTATATACAGCAGAAAATGATGTGATATGTAAACAAAAATAAACTTTGGGAGTTTGCCGATAGAAAAGAAAGGAGAAAGGAAGAAATGAATTCCAAAAAACATCACATCAATGGAGCTAAGATAAAGAAGGCAGAAAAATGGCAGATCAGAACCAAATCCAAGTGACAGAAACCATTGAAACATAAGCTAAGTTTCAACATTATCTTTCAAAATACATGAGAAATAAACCCATACCAGCAATTGACCCCAAAAAAAAAAAAAGGAAATAGGATCCATACAGAAACTACATCCAAAAGTTGGAACCTGCATCCATCCTCCGATTGCAAATTAACTCTCCCATTGCAAAATAACTCATCCTTTTGAAAAAAATTAATCCCCTAAGTAACGAGAAAAAGGGCATGGGAGGAATCAAAAGCAAAAAACAAAAATGTAATTCTTTTAAATGAATTGGCAGAATGATTGAGCGTAAAATGGATAAGATAGAGCTAATACGAAGGTCAATGCCATCATTCTGGCAATCAAACCAATAGGGAAACATATCTCCATCATCATATCATTCTCAAAAAGCTAAATGTATGTTTTTTTTTTGTTGCGTCGGAAGCTCCGTAAGCAAGTAAGGCAGATGGAGATCCACAACCACTGGTCAGTTAGTTTCTCCATCCATACATTTGGCTACAGCCCTTTTGGCCAATTGAAGTTAAGGCCACCTGATTTTCAATCCCTTCACGTGGTACATGTTGCCATCTTGTCTATTCAATCAACAAAATTTTATTTATTCAAGATAATGCCTAATCATAAAAAAACAAAAATTAAACGATAGGAAGAAATAATACTGGGTTTCAAATTATAAAATGTGGGAACATCTGAATGCAGATTGCTTGCAAAATCAGAAGCAAATGGCAGAATCTCAATCCCCCTTAGTATCGGCAACGTACAGCGCTGAAAACACTATAGAACATTGTGCATCAGAGACTCGAATTTATTGCCATGCTCATGTACTTTCAAAATACTAAAAAAACTTTAAACGAAATAAACAAACAAAATCAAGAAATCTCAGGAAGTGACGATTTTCTGTAACATCAACGATCTCACTAGCCCTCATAGTTTGATGGTATACAGCTTTAATTCATCACTGCCTTCAATCACCACAAGAAATAACAAATTAAGAAATTAGAGGAGAAGCCTCAGACAAGTTACATTTTTCAATTGCTTCAGAGAATTCATGTCAGATGGTACGGACAAATACTTATGCATCACCGGCCAACAACTTCAAATCAGAGTGAAAGAATACTTGTTTCTTTAGAATTATTTTTCAAAACACACATCAATGAAGCCACTTCAGCAATTTAAGAATTGAGCGCGTTAGAGAATGAATATTCATTTCAACGCCTGCCCTCTTCCGATTTATAGTTCAAGAACTGACAGAAGGTAATCGGGTTCGTGAAATGGAGAAGCCGCAGTTCTCGGGTGGGCAAGATGAAGATTTTGAAAGCCCGCAACGAAGAGGCTAGAAGAGGAAGAATAAGAGGTCGAAAGAGAAAAAGGGACGCTCCCGTTTGGGGTCCTGTGTTTTAAGGAAGAAGAAAAGAGCGGCTAAGGATGACGAAGGAAATTAGGTATAGGGTTTATATAATCGCAGGCGAACAGTAGCTGAAGAAAATGAGAGCCTGAAATGAACATCTTACAAAACTAGAAGATGATAATATAATAGCAAAACATAGTAACAAATATCTCAAGAAATATTCCAATAACGTAAATAACTTTTAATTTTAAAAACTAATTTATGAAGTATTTACAAAGAAAGAAAGAAAAAGTTTAATATATAATTAATTAAGCATAATATCACTTTCTTATCAATGCTCTAAATTTACCACTCGAACATTTCCCAATTCAATAATTATATGGACAATGCTTATTCGTGAAATTCTTCTCAAGCTCATGTATGATTCTATTACTATGAATATTGTTATCAAATTGAATCATACTAATTACTGATATTCAAACTTGAAGTCTAACATTTTGTTTGCTTATAGAAATTTATGTTATCTAATAAAAGAAAGAAACACACTGTTAATAAATACTAATAAATGAAATCAGAAATCTCATAATTATATTCAAATGTCATTAAAAGAACTAAACAAATCCCACATCTTCTAATGATTCTCTTGTTGTTTGGCACTCTTATAGTGAAGTATTTCTCTCAGTATTACAACGTAATACAAGATTACATATAATCAATTACAAGTTGGTAATGACAATTGTTTGAACATTTTTCAAACTTATTTGTTCTCTTTAAACTTGTCTTAAAGCATGTTACACATAACCAAAAATTGTGAAGAATTTTATTTTTGTTAAACATTTTGCAAATAACTTCTGCTAGAATAATTTTAGTTAAAAAATTATCCCATGTACTCTCAAATTAACTTGTCATATTTCCAATAATATTCTTGACTTAGTTCATTGTTATTTCTATAACTCTGCTGCTACTGAATCCTCTAAGGGTCACAAGTATTTGTAGATAAAGTTGATAATCATTCTACATTTTTTAAAAAAAAATATATTGCATCAGAAAAAAAAAAAAAAATTATCTTTCTATTTTAAAGACTAGTTACAATAGTCAGTTCAAACGTCCTGCGGCAAGATCAACAGATGTCTCAACAGTCCACTAGTCTTTGTTAGTAAAGATGCAAGCTGAAGTTTACTTTATTGTGTCAACAAGCAACCTTAGCTAACTGGCTCAACGTCCCCATCTGATCTTCTACTACCCGCTTCAATTCTTCCTCAGTCAAAAAAGTTAAAAAACCTTTCTTCATCTTCCAAATTACCACATCATTTTATCTTTTCGATCCAAAACAATACACAAAATCATATAGATTTCTAGCATTAGATCTCCTCATGATTATAATATATTTATTCTGCAGTTCGGAGTATGCAATTTGGCAGCAAATACTGGAGAAATCAAATAAAAATTACCAATTAATTAGTAACTTACACCAAGACTAAGGTCATCGAGGTGAACTTGACACTCTTCCTGATATTCACTTTCAGTTAACTACTACCCAAAAAACCAGTCTCATACAACAAATTTCATTCCATATTTCCTTTTTCCAACAGCCAAATTTTCTGCTTCGTAAGTCCAAGACAGCCTCTGGAGCTGGATGGCTTTGACGGAAAAAGCCTATATCAGAAAATCTGACTAACAGCCAGAGTGTTACAGTGGTAAACGTAACAGCAGCTTCCTAGTTGGTGATCTTAGACCAATTCCATCTCTTTTTTGCTATTCTATGTACCTGAGAGACTGATGTTTCTTTCACTCTTGATTTTGCCCCTACAAGATGGAATCTGGATCAAGCGATCTTTTTTTGTGTTCTGCTATAAACTTAACTAAATTGGTACAAAAAGTGCCTACCAGGCAGGGTCCCTTTTATGTTACTTGCATTGCCTTGGTCGAAAGTTCTCGGTTGACAACAGAGAGCTTATCAACTTCTCCAGTCTTTTTGCTCCAGGACCAGGCCGGAGGACTGTGGTATTACCAATCACAGAGCATGGATCAGTTCCATTTTCTTGATTTCCAATGCACCACCCACCAGGCGTAGCCATGCCAGGACTTCTAGACAAGAGTTCAGCATCAATTTTGTCCAGCACTGGATCATTTCTGGGGAATTTCCTTGCAAATGGGGCATTACTGTCAACCATTCTTTGCATATCACCAAGGTTGAGGTGGTGAGGATGCTGCTTAGGAGGGTTGTCCCATGATATAAAGTGAAGGTCGCTGTTCACGGTAGTGTTACGGAATTCTTGAGCATTACAAATAACAGTATGGAAATAGCCTTCTGGAGAGGATATAAAATTTGCATAGTACATGAGAACAATACGGGGTAGGTTGTCCCATCCCCATATGAAATAATCAACAAAAGGCCGAGAAAGTACCATCCAAGCAGAACCTGTTGGCAAAAAGAATATTTAGTTACAAACTCTGATTATAAAATAAATTTAAGAGAATATGAAAATTGTTCAGTCATCAGAGCTTCACATATTGTTACTACTAGTCTCATTCGTTAATGACAAATAGAAGAGCTGAGCACATGAATCATGATTCTCATTATCTTAAAATTGCCACTCAGACAAATACTTGCATACAGCAGCAAACGGCAAAATGAGTTTCCAAGAATCCAACTGTTAAATGAACTTTGAACAGGTAGCATAACCAACAACCTCAGTTGGTTACATGAAAAACAAGCACTAACTAGCATGATTCCTTTGATCCCAAGCAATCTGATATAGCGCACTGTTTCCACAACAAATAGGGAAGAAATTCTCAGAATCAAAACAAGAAGTATCCTTTTCAACATCCATAATAAAAAGATAGGGTTGCAATTGGTCAGCTGCAAATTAATTGTCTTAGAAAAGAAATATCACAAAACTCAATACTATTACCAATTTTTTCCCTATTGAGGAAAGATTGCCAACCGAGTATAATTCGCCATTCTCAACAGAAAAGAGAAAAACTTGAATTGATGACAATAACAGAAGGAGGTGAATTTCAATTTACAACAAAGCAATTCTAATTTTCCCATGACTGCTCCTATTGCAATTTCGCTCAATTTGGAACAGTAAAACTCCTAAAACCTGCTTTCCAGACTATTGGAAACTTTGCAACCGCTGCAGTCTTTAGGACTAATAACCCAATCAGGTTAAGCCAAAGCATTGTTAAACAAGGAAAAGGAAAATGGGGTGCTTGAATTCTCATTTGCACTCTTTGGGCCCATAATATAGCTCCTTTTGTATTCTCAATTATTTGGTAACCTTGCCGAGCACTAATATCAAAAATTGACATTAAACTAATTAGCAAAATGTTGAAATAGTTGTTCAAATCGCCAAGAGGTGCCCCAAAAACGGCAAAAACTACGTTAAGTTTCCAGATCGCTCATCATAAAACACGAAGTTATTTGCTCCCAGTACCATGTGAGGTAGTAGGCCCTATTCCATCAATCATATCTGACATGTCTTCAATGAGAGAAAATAATTATTACCTGACTATATTTGTTCTAGATGCATAGATAGTATACTGGCTAGAATAACCAAAAGAAGCAAACACTTATAGAGCATTTCTCCATACTCCATGCAGCAGGTACTGAAACGAATGCATGTTATGGAAGCTATATGCAAATTAGATGCTAATAAAAATGTATAACAATCATGAGAGCTGACTACAAAAAAAAAAAAAAGAAAATGAATACACAACAAAAAATTTCATGGTTGAAGAACCACCACAAGCCAAACTGGATAGACAAGCTAATTTACACAGGAACCAGAAAGAATGCAGCTCAGACAGGGAAAATAAGAACTTAGTCCAAGAGAACATTTGAAAAATCATCAAATGATTCTAAAGCAATTGAAATGTTCTAGACTCCAAAAATCAAAGAAGCAAGTAAACTCAAAAGGAACAGTAAGTGAACAAACCAATACTGAAAATGTAATCCCACTCATACCGCAGGTTCATCATGTTATAGAATCATACAAATCTAATTGAGAAGTCCATTTAATAATTGGGCTTCAAATTCACCATTCTACCAAGTCAGAATAAAATCAGAGTGCATCCTTTGCTGAAAAATCACAAGGTAAACATAGACTGGATATACCAGCCTTTCCATCTCCATCCGCCTCACCTCATAAGAAGAGAAAACTCAAAGTCACAAAAGATTCCTCTCAAAAAACTCATCTTTTAATTCAGATAATTCTTAACCTTGATAATTCCCCAACAATTTCCCTTCTAATAAATGACGTCTAATCGACTATAAGCTTGTCAAGAGGAATCTAAGGTGTGGATTCCAAAAGGTCCCTTCAAAAGGAGAGGATTCCAAAATCAAGTTGACATCCTTGTACATGAAAAATACCAGTCATTTAGAAACTGGCTTGAGCTAGACAGGCTCCCTATGTATGGCACTCAACTGCATAAGCACATTGCAATGTGATGATATCAATATGTGAACCATTCTCACAAGTGATCTTATCATCCAATCAAGAACACTTCCTCAGATAAAAGAGAATATTAAAAAACGACAAAATTTAGCGTTCATACTTGTAAAATTCTTGACAGAAAAAAATGAAAAAGTATTGGTAAAAAAAAAAAAATACTCCAGTTCTGAGTCTCCTTACCATATACACAGAAATACATACAATCGAATATCCATAGCTGCACAAAGCACAGTTTTTATTTCTACCTGTGATGCAACAATAGTTGTGGAAACTTCTTACAGCTGGAGTTCAACAGGTCCTATATATTCTTTCCCACTTCAAGTATCTAAACAAGCTAAATAACACTGATAATGAGCATGGTGCATTCAATATTGCCCAGATTGAAGCATTTCACCAATGCTATATAGCAATTATGAGGCACATGAAGATCCATTAAAGTTAAAATGTTAAAAAAAAAAAGTAATGACATTATGAAACGACAAAACCAACTTCAAACTCAGTATTTTTAATCATGTGAATAAACTTTCACTAGAAAAGACAGTCAAAGAAATAGAACAAATATTATGTATGATGTTTTGCATGTTTTATGCGACTAAAATCCTAGAACTCCATATTTTACTAAAACCAACCTAGAATTCCACATCCACATAATAAAGCCCAACTAGACCTTTTATCAAGTTGACTTTAATTTCTTTCAAAAAATTAAAATGACAACCAAAAATTTCAACTCTCCTTTCATTTCACTCCTAATCTACTCAACAGCTAAAGATCCAACTGATTTAGTGACAATAATGTAATCTTAGTCAATCGCATATCATCAGAAATGATATTACTTCGTCAATCGCATAGCATTCCATACAGTATGTTCCAATACCACCTTGTATTATAATTATTAATAGTATATACACTCTCAGAAAAGAAATTAATAGAATATACAGATTCAGAAAACAACTTCTCGAAACTGCTGCATGTTGGACAACAAGAAATACACACATCCAACGTGATGGACTATAAATCACTGATTAGAAGGAAAAGTCAGTCATCTTAGCAGAAGAAAGCAGAGCCAAACTGAAAATTCACAGATAGAGATTCTAATTATCTAAGTAAAATTGCACAGCATCAAAACTATGAACAGGAAAAGATCGATGATATAAAACTAGCACACCTGTGAATAGTTTGAAAGCTGTTGGTACACTCCTCCTCTGCGTAACCCAGAAAACATCAGCTTTCTTGGACATATACAACCCAGGATCAATAATTATGGGCTTCGCTCTCTGAAACCTATAAATTAACAGCGAGGGAGGCAACGCCATAAGTCAGCACATTTAATATTTTTCTTTTCAAAGAAAGGGAGAAACAAAAACGAAAGGAAAGAATAAAACAAATTTCCTATTTAATTCAGTTCACTCACTCTTTCCATCCAATATTACTCGTGTGATCAATGAAATTAAGTTCCCGCGGCAAATAAGAAAATGTATGCAACAGATCTGATCATAGAGCAAAACCATTAAACGATCTGAAAAGATCTCTAAATAAATAACGAAACAATCAAATTACGAATCAAACACAGACAGAGAAATACACAAGTGTGTATATATATATAAATTATATATATATTATTCAAGGAAAAAAAGAAGGCACAGAAACTCTCACCATCCTGAGTCACAAGCGGGTAGTCTGAGGCACTAAGATTAATAAACCAGTCCCAATCGGCACCTTCCTTGAGCAAGATCGCAGCAGCGTGGAGGGTGTTGGCGACCATTGTAGGCCCACGGTAGGTGACCAAATTGGCCTTGACGATCATCCTAACATTCCGGAACTTGAGAAAGAGTGGTTGGTTTTCGACAAAGTGCTGCAGATCCAAGCGCTCCTCGGGACTAGATTCTCTGTCCAGGTGCACCACGTAACGATTGTTAGGATGGTAGAGAGCAAGCAGGGTTCGCCTCAGCATTTCACCGTCGCCGGTGGAGCCGGAAATGAGGTAGGCGAAGCGAGGGGGAGGAGGTATGGAGGAAACAGGAATGGGCTTGAGCTTGGACTCGACGAAGGCGGAGGATCCCATAGCGAAAGGAATAGAGCGGTAGAATGGAAGGAAAGGTGTGCCATCGGAGGAAATAAGGGTGGTGAGGAAGAGAAGGAAGACGGAGAAAATGGAGCCAATCGCGAGAGGGAAGATCCACTTCCTCTCCATTGCTTGCTGATGCCTTATGTGCATATAATAGCTCTTCAATCTCTTCATTAATCTTTTAACTCAACAAATTTAGCTTGTACAAGCTGAATTTTTCCGGCGAATCGAGAGGAGAGGGAAAATGTTGGTGAAGCTTGAGTAAATTTAAGGGTTTAATTTAGGTGGAAGAAGAAGAAATTGTTGGGGGTTTTCTTTAGGTGTTGTAAGATTTGAATTAGTACATTAAAAAAGACTAATCACTGTATTAATTGTTTGTGTTTTTGTAGGTAACATAAACAGATTGTGTTTGTTTTCAGGTATATCTTTCTCGGCCTGTTGGCTAAGATCAAGTGTTTGTTTTCAGGTTCACATCATGGTGATGCCGTTTTTTCCACCGTTGATTTCAGAAAGTTGAATTGCTAACCGTTAAGATCGGCTAAAAAACTTTGGTCAACGAAAACCTTCTCAACCGTTATAGTATCTTTTCCTGCTCTGCCATTTATTCCCACGAGTAACATTTTTCTTCTGCCGCTCGTCCTACTTCGGAATTAAATATGTCATACATTATTATTGAATACACATTTTGAATTTAATTTTACGTAGGTGTTCAACCCTCTAATTGAATACCTATAAATACATGTTAATTACATGTAATAATTAAAAAGGAAAACTATAGTAATTCGGTAACTCCTATAATATGCTCTAATTAATACTTGCTTTATATATTTGAAAAATAACATTTTAAGCTCTCTTTGATTTTGATTTATTTTTTTAAAAAAGTAAAATTATTATTTTACTTTTATTTACCAAACATTATCCAAATATTTAAATTTTAAAAAAAAAGTTACTACTTTTAAAAATAAATAAAATTTAAATTAAGTTAAAATTTCTTTGATATTCAATAATTATTTTCTCACTTTCTCTCTCTCTTGGAATTATCATTACACCATCTTTTTTCCTCCTCTTAATTTTTTCTCTTCCATCTTGTAAGTTACGCACGTACTTACTCTCTTTATTCTTAGAAGTAAACCTAAAATTACTATTTCACAATTTTTTTACGAATAAAATATATTATAAAAGTAGACTAAATTTTACAAAGTGATATGACCCAGATTTTGTATAGTAAAGAGAAATTATTATAAAAGTATTTTTTTGAACAAAAAAAAATCTAGTACCATTTGTCGAAGACATTGTGATCAAGGGATAAAAGAATTTTTTAGACAAGTTTTGTATAGTAAAGAGGATACTAAATAACAAGAAGTTAGATATTCGACGTATGATGATGTTGGTTGATAAAATAACTTATTCTAGTAAGTAAAGGATTCTTTCGGGAGGAGGAATAAAAGAATAAATAATTGATATTCAAGGTTTCATTCAAGAGTGAATGATATCTATAGTTTTATAAGTACCTAACTTGATGAATTATCTATTCTCTATAATATTTTTCTATGATAAAAACTCTTTAACTTTTAAAGAACGTTAAACAAAAGAAGAATTTTTTAGACGCTTAAGATATATATACGCACAAACAAAAAGTTTATTACAAAAATATACAAAATAACTGTTTATAAATAGTAATTATTTTTGTACATAAAGTTTAGAAGTAAATTATTATCAAAATTTGCTTACAAATTTACTGGTTGTTGGCATACAAAGCAACATATGGGTATAATCGTAAACTCAATTTCCAATATGCTAACAATTTGAATTGCATGTCTTCTTTTCTCACAAGAGCATATTACTTGTGGGAAACAAACAACTCCTCAAATAACAACTTCTGTTGACATCACTAGTAGTTTGATAACTAATAAAAGTATAAACTTAAAGGACTAAAGAAAGAGAAAAAAAAAAGAAAAAAAAAATATATATATATATATATATACTCATGTATATTATTGATTAGTCTTTTTATTTATATGCATAAAATTATATAGTAAAATTTACTTTATATTCATACTATTGATGTGATAACAATGTGATTTAAAATTTTTCTAAGTTAAATTAAATTAGAGAAGAGGTCTTTTTTCCTAAAAAGATTTAATCAACTCTAACTATAGAAAATGAACCTATACATATATCATTGCTACAATGATGTGGGAATGATATAGCCAAGGTTTTAACAAGCTTAGATAAATTACAGTATAAATTTTATTATGTAAAAAATATCATTTGAAAGAGAATAATTTACTTTTTTTTTTAATTTTATTTGATTTATTAAAAGTAGCAGACATTTGATATATCTAAACTTACTCTTGCATATAAGCACGTTATATCAACTCATTAAGAACTTGCAACAAATATCATAAATATTGACCATTCTTACTAAACAATTCAACAACAATGCTACTAAATGAATGATAATGTTAATTTTTAAGTTACTTTTAGTTGCTATATAATAGTTCAAGAATAAAACAAAGATTATATCCTTAATATGATATGACAAAAAAATTAGTATCTAATTTGTTTGAAGTTTGACCGTATTTTACGGGATAAAAAATTGAAATTTATATCAAATTTTTTAAACATATAAATTTTAACGTTTAAACTTGATAAAGTACCTAAATTAAAAATTTTATAAAGATCAAAGTGTCATAATTGATCATGGATAGTAAGTTATTTATTAATTTAAAAACAGCTTAAATGTGCCCTACGTACACGATGTGCTAAAAAGAAGGGGAGAAATTTTTTTTTTTTCCTTTGATCATTCATTACGTTGAATAAATATTCCAATTGTTTTTTTCCTTGGCGTATCCATTGAAAATCCACCTCTGAAAATTACTACACTTGACTCATTAATAGTGTTGGTTTATATTATATTTAATTGTATTAATTAAGTGGAATTAATAAAATTTACCTTTCTTAATTTATACTGAGAGGACATTTATTATATTTAGTGGTATAAACGTAGTCATATCCTTAGCCTTAAATTTCCTTTGATTATTATTTTGTTTCTATCATAATTATATAATTAATGCGTAATTAGCGGGTTTGATTGAGGGTAGTATGTGTTGACCAGACTTGGGATCATAAAAGAAGATGATGGAGATGGGTATCTGTATAACAAGTTATTTGACTTTGACCAATACAACTTAAAGAAATGTTTTAAGTGTTTAAACGAAGAAAGTTTTTCACTCAGACTTAAAAGTAATGAAAACAAAAGATTAAATGATTTAGAATTGGAGCAAAATGTCAAGAAAAACGATAAACTTGAATGTTCAAAAATAAATTACGCAATTATACAATTAGTAAAATTCAATCTGATCGCTCTAATAATTTTGAAGCTAAATATTATTTGAAAAATAATATTTGCATTTGTAAAGTTATAAAAAAAATATATATATATTTTGCTTGAGCTTTAAAATAGTTATTTCAATATCTTTGAATATATATGTAGACATACACATATCTAGGCATACACATATTTTCCTTCATATCTAACCTATTTATTACAAACCAACCATATTAATAAACTGATATGAGTGTTCATACACTGATAGTAATGAAACCATTTGCTAAAGTTAAGAAAACATTTCAATTTCAATTCAAAGTACTTCAAAATTAATTTATATATATACACACACACACACACACACACAGAATATATGCTTATTTGTATATTTTATACGTTTGGCTCACTCCACCTCCTCTCATTTCTTTAAATAAATCTTTAGGTACACTTAGACTATCTCATTCCCAACCAATTTGTATCTTTGGGTATACTTGATCCCTTGTTTGCTAATAGATTATGTACTTAGCTCGAGGGGATACCTCATTCCATTCTTTAGTAATTATAATAAAGATGAGCACATTCAGATACTTCTTATTTCACAATTATAATACATATACACACATTTAATCTCCTTATTTTATAATTATAATAAATATGAACACACTCGAATTGTATTATTTGACAAACATAATAAATTTGAAAAAAATTTGACCATCATCATCTCACAATCATAGTAAAATACAAATAGATTGAACCCTCGCCTTTTATATCATAACACATATGACACGGTAGATCATTATTTATTTATTTTTATATGACACGGTAGAATATTACTTGGCCTCTTTTCTTCTTCATCATGTGTATATGTTCTCCACTTGGTTCTTAATTTTTTTTTGTACTGAAACATAGAGGCAGATCTAGTTCTCCATCATAACATATTTTTGTTATATTTATTTTATATGTGATTTAGTTATTTGTTGTTAGGGGTATAAGTGGTTCAATGTAAATTAGAAAATCAAATCAAATCACTAAAGTAGCTTGGTTTGATTTGGTTATTAATCCTCGAAATTTTGATTTGGATAGAAAGTTAAATTAAAATTTTTAATAAGTTGTTTATCGGTCTAGAAGTGGATAAGATTGTATTGGACCAAAAACTAAATAAGAATGAGGATTTGAATTTAATACCTGACTATTTTAATTTCAATTTGAATGAAACCAGTTAAAATTAAAATGCACTAAATTTGCAAATTTTTAAATACATTAACACAAATTTTCTATTTCTTAAAATTTTATTTTGTTAATACAGTCTTTTCTTGTATAAACTAAGTCTAATCCAATTTGATTTTTTTATTCAAACTGAGAAATATACAAACTTACTTTATGCAAAAAAAAAATAGACCTAATCAGTAGATAAATTTAGTAATACATAATTTTTTGGGAATATTTTAAATTAATAACTCTAACTATTATAAATGTGAGTTATGACATTATCCATGGAATGGATAGTACTCTTATAATTTATAAAGTTTACTTGTTATAATAAATATATTTGGCGAACTAATAATGACTCTCACTTTGGTAAGGGATTTTTAGGAGTATTCCGGCCTATTGTCTGTCTTCCAATGTGTCTACTGATATATTATGTACATCACTAAGAAATTTTCATTTTTGTCATCCTCAAATATCTTTAGATTATATGGAAAACAGATAATTCACAGGGCCACAAAACATGAAAAATCTTTACACATTCTCCTTCTTGTGCCAACAGTATATACAGTGAGTAGCTTAACAACAGGCAATTTACAACAATAAGATTTCCATTGAGTACAGAAATAGACTTGAATTGGTTAAAAAGTCTTCAAAGTTCTTTCTTCACCGATTCTGTTCATGATACGAGAAGCCTCATTTAATCTATTTGCTCTCTCATAAATGCTAGCAACAACGAGATACAACTCCCTTCTATTGATATTAGGATCAAGTTCCAATCTCTCAAACAGGGAATTTACCTTACTAAGATCCTTCTTCGCACCATATAGACCCAGCATTTGAAAGTGCACTTCATCTGGAAAAACACACCCTTCTTCCTGCATCTCTCTATATACAGCATCTGCCTTCTCAAATTCCTGCAATTTTCCATAAGCATTCAGAACCAGAGCTATAACATTAGAATCAGGAAAGTATCCTGCTTCTCTCATCTTCTCAAACACTTCAATCACATTTGCTGGCTTTCTGTTCCTTGAATAAAGATCAATCATGCACCCAAATATAGATATGTCCTTCACCTCCCCAGCATCAAAAGCCTGACGAAAAACCCATGTAGCCTCTTCTATCCTACCAGCTCTTGAAAGAATTAAAATTGCAGTATCCCTAGGAATGTTATCAGGACGTTTGAGTTCATGAAGCAATCGCTTAGAGTGAGCAACCAAACCAGCTCTCTCATAAGCCACAATCATCGTTTGATATAGGACTTGATCAATCTCAACCCCGGAAGTCCTTAGCTTTTGAAACAATATTGCAGCTCTATCCAGTTTCCCTGCCTTGCCCCAGATAGATATTATTGTGGAGTATGTAATAGCATTGGGTTCAATCCCTCTACTCTGCATTTCTTGCACAAGGTTAGTTGCCTTTTCGTGCTCAAGAGACTTCCCATATATTTTGATCATAGTGTTGTA